TAACTTTCTCATAAGAATATTTTCAGTAATGACAATACAGTTTGTTGCCCTAATTTTACATGGGATTTTGCCCTTTTCAAGTGCTTTTAAACATTAAATTAGGAACATTTTAATGTGATTAAACAATGAAATTACCTATAAACAAGGTCAATGAATGCGGCAATATTAATAATAATACTTAAATGTACAGAAATATACAGTTAACAGTTGGTTTAAATAATAATGGATTGCATTTATATAGCGCTTTTCGAGACCCTCAAAGCGCTTTAAAATTCCACTATTCATTCACTCTCACAAGGCAAGCTACAGTTGTAGCCACAGCTGCCCTAGGACAGAGGCGAAGCTGCCATATTGCACCATCGGCTCCTCTGACCATCACCAGTAGGCGGTAGGTGAAGTGTCTTGCCCAAGGACACAACAACCGAGACTGTCCGAGTCGGGGCTCGAACCGGCAACCTTCTGATTACAAGGCGAACTGCCAACTCTTGAGCCACGATCGCCCTTCCTGCACTTTCTGGACAACTGGGCAAACCAACATTTGGATTGTGACTGTTTTACTCAAAGACTAGTAGCTAATAGTGGCTGTCAAGACTGAGTATGGAAGCAGGGACAGTCCTCAGTCAGCTGGAAAATGACACTGTGTTGACCAGCTTGAGAGAGAGAAAGAGACAAAAGAGAAACTGGGATCTAAGAAAAGATGAAAAACAAAAAGGAAACTCAAGAAAAGCCAGAAGAGAAAACAAAAAAAAGAGGATGAAAGGTTAGTGAGGCCACACTTTTTTTAGTGTGCTACTCTGTTCCCTGCTGTGGTAGAATTCAAGCGCTGCCTCCTGACCACAGTTGAACCATAGAACTTCTTGTACTCAGTTACAAGCCATCACATTGCATCCCATCATCCTGGCCGGCCTTCTCCACTCAACTCACGAGATGAAGCCCCCCCCCCCAGCAAGTTTCAACTAACTTCCATAATCCTATTCACAGACTGCAGCTTCTCTCTATTACGTAATCACTGAATGAAGTGAGCTAACAGGCACTGACAACCCTTTCAAAGACACTTCCCACTTTCCCGCTGTGGCTTCTTCCTGCACAGCTGCCCCAGCGCAGGGTAATATTAGCCCCTTACCTGAGAGCAGATGAGGATTATAAAGCTATGCAGAACTTTTACTAACAGCAAACAATTCCCAGAAGAGCCAGGTGAAGCTGATGTAGCAAACAAGATGTAGCTTTAACATTTGCTTGACAGACTCTGATAAACAAATGTGTCTTCTTACAACTACGATGACTGCTCTCACTGTCAAATATAAAGCCAGGAGCCCCGCGATAGACTGCCGACCTGTCTAGGGCGTGCCCGCCTCTCCCCCTATGACAGCTGCTCACGTAAAAGCCCGTGTAAGCAAAATGTCAAGCAGAATGTGTGACCTTTCACCACCGTTTTCTTCTGGCTGAGCTTTCAGAACTTTGTTGAAAACAGATGATTTAACCTTGCCAAATTCTAGTGTTGTTCTCACAAAGCCTGTATTTTAGAGCAGCTCAAAGCATGGGGAGAACAGAGTCAGCACAAGAACCTGAATATTTCTTCCCTATCACGGCATGGGAAGGACTGTTATTTTGCATCCACATGGTAATCAAGACAGTCAGCAGCTCACAACAATTCTCTGAACAATGCAAGATCACTGATTTGAGTGCAAGTATGAGTTCCAGGGTTTCTACAGTAGATTCATACACAGTGTTATTATATGATGATACCATCTTATGCTGCAGATATAATGTATATTAAAGCTAAAAGCATAATATGAAAATCTGCAATGTTGTTTTGCCTGTAAGGACATTCCTACTTCTTCTTCTTCATCTTCTTCTTTGGTGTATTTAAACAATTTGGCTATGCTGCAACATGCCTCAAGTCTGCATTTGCGTAATTTGGGGAAAAATAAAGAGTCATTATGAGCTTATGAGGCTCTACAACACATTTAGGGCAGGCATTACAGACAAGTAGGATTAAATAATTCAGTTCTTCAAAGATTTAGAGCCACAACCTGTGGATCCAGTAGTCATTTATTTAAATGTATGATGCTGCAGCAGATACGGGTGAAACCAGAGTACAAGGGGAAGCACTGAGCGCTGGACCTCTCCGTCACATCCATGCAGGGTTTTGTGTTCCAGTGGATAGGCCGCAAAATAAAACCCTCATATTGCTCCTGCTTAGCTGACTAAAAATTTGGTGAATACACCAATATTACTAATACTAAAAATAACAGCTTGAAAAGAGAAAAGCGGAAGGAGAAGCCCAAAATACCATTTAGCATTAACCCTTCAAGGCTGTGCATAATGTAGACCAGATTGACTCTAAAGTTAATGGTGCTTGAGTGGGAGTCTGCTCTTTCAGGTCCCACTGAGCCTGTGACAAAGCCTTCAAGAGTCTCTGGAGAAGATCAGGTATGCCAGTACAGCATGTGATGTTGTCTGACTGTCTGCCTGACTGAGCTTGGCGACTTTAATATAGCTAATGGCGAACCTCAAACACATAAATGTAAGAGCAAAGATGAAAAGAGCACAGCATTACCAGGGCAAGTTAAGCACTGCTTGCAAAAAAAGCCATTAGAATTGAAAATGGTTCACGTATAAAAGAGTTAAATAAGGACATTACGGTCAGGCAGAAGGTAAGTGGAGTCAGAGCAACTTTAAAATATAGACTCATCGGATGGCAGCTGCCATAACTGACTGATCCACTGTGAACAACAAGATTAAATGGCAAAAAGTGCATAATTGTTTCCAAGGGTGAGAACCAAATGAATAAGTCGCAGCAGTGAAAGTGACCTGTGGTTGAGATTCTACTCTGCTGCAGACACAGACAGCTGTGGACACGAAGTCATTCATGTTAGAGTTCTTTCAAGTCAAGTCCGCCTGAAGGGCACATGCATAACTGGTGCATTGTAGAGCCTCCATGATGAGAGTGTGCTGTAAACCAATAAATCTGCAGCCAAGCAGAGCCTCACGCTCACCATCTGATCAATCAGAACCAAGTGGACCCCAGCGTAAGAGTCGAATATGAATCTATAGCACACCATTAAGAAATCACACCAGAATGCCAAAACTTTTGGATCTTCTTTGAGTATGTGAAAGCATGGAAGAGTTTATGACAGTGAACACCTCAAACTGTTACTAGGCGTCATTTATTAGGCAATCAAGATTTTCTTTATAGGCCCAAGTGTTGCTGGGTTTTTGACCTTTTCAGGCTTCCTCCTCTCCTCCATGTGTCCTGGAAGTAGGTGAAGTTGTCCGAGGAACCTCTACCCTGCTTTAGATCCTTTTTATGAGCCATCAGATTAAACACCTGCCATACTTTGTCGATATGTTTCCGTGAGAGCAGGCATTTGGCGTCTGAAACATCAGGTTCTCGGCTCTCCCTGTTAAAGCTCAATCAAATTATCAAAAAGCTCAATTTGTCAAAAATGTATTTTATGCATAATAAACTAAGATTTTATGACTCGGATAAAAATGACATTATAATGTCGGCATGCCAAGAAACCTTAAGGGTAGCTACTAAAAACAAACAAGCCAAACAAACTTATGGTTCAAGGGTTGGGCATTCATGCATTGCTTTCAGCTGCTCTATGTGTCATTATGCCTTCCTGTAGTCCAAAGGTCTTCTGGCGCATGGCACAGTAGTTTTTGTTGAGCCGAAGCCAAGTGATCTCCACAGGGAATGCACACTTCTACGTTTACAGCACAGCTGCATGGATCAATGGAGCAGTCGCCTCCATTCTGCTGAACCATGGAAAACCATCAAGCACTGGTAAACAGAGGAGTGAACGTATGTGTGTGTGTGTGTATGTATGTACGATTGCTGATGTGTGTCTAAGAAGGAAGTGATCTTCATGTGAGTAAATGTTGACCCATATCATCCTACAGCGGGAAGAATCTGCTGCTAAATTCTAGCAGCGAGGTTGAAAGTGTTTTATCTGTCACCAAGAAGGTGATCGGAGAGGCTGTAAACGAAGCACTGCGTGTCTGGGATTGTGCTGATTGTTCTATCCATGCCACCACTGTAAGCCTGGCTAAATCTTGGCTGTAATGTCTTCTCTCCAAGAACAGAAAACAGGAACACTGGAAGAAGAGGGAAAAAACAGCATGGTTTTGCCAAGGTATTCCATCCTGCTCCAGTGTTAACGTGACTCCAATTGTAATAGCACCCACTGGCAAAGAGGAGAAAGTGCTGTCACTGCTAGCCATGGCAACAGTACCAAACTCTAATTCATTCATTAGTCATTTAATGGGCTTTAAAGCTCGGCCCACAAAAACCCACAAAAGGGAAAAGCAATCAGTGTGCTCATTCCTGTTTGGCACAGGGGCTTCACACGGCCATGTGTTCCATCATTCAACACATGAAGGCTTTTCTTTAAACATGTAGTTGGACGAGCTCTCATAAAGCCAACAAGCTCTGCTCTTTATGTTGTATTATGAAGACATTATAGTAGATTAAGGATGATCCTATATTGTCTAGACTCTTACATTACAGTGAAGCAGCCTAATTGTGATATAAGAGTGTGTGTGTGTGTGTGTGTGTGTGTGTGTGTGTGTGTGTGTGTGTGTGTGTGTGTGTTCTTACACCAGGCTGCACACATGCATTTGACAGTTACCCTCCTTCACTGCTGGCTGATCCGGTTTGAACTCCGTACACTTTTGCACACTTTTCTGCCTCTACTGCACAAACCTGAACACTTTCAGTGTCCCAACTTTTTGGTGGAGACTAAAAAGCAGATGCACACAAGCGACACACCTTTGATAACAATGAAAAGCCCCCCCCCCCCTCCCCCCTCGTTTGCGCACCCCTGGACTCCCATACCCCATGCGTCGGGGGCCCCTGGGGTTCTCCGCTGTCTCTTTCCCTCTTTCCCGAAAAAAGCGCCATGTTGAGGCTTCAGTGTGGACTCGGCACGCTGCTCCGCGGAGCGTTTACAGAAATCACCCCGGGGCTGAGGTGTGTGTTGCCGGGGACTTACCTTTGCGATCGCCTTTTTGTACCTCATGGCCGCTTGTTCGATAAGACTCTGGACTTTTACATTCCCATCTCCACACGGAACGACCACCCGGGTCCTCCCGAAGCACACCGTCACTTTCATTTCTTTCCTTTTTTTTCCTCCGCCGCGTTAATTCCAAAGAGGAAAAAGCCGCGTCAAAGCGACAATAACCATCCCCGGCGCTGCGTGGGAGCAGAAAACACCGAAACCCCCAGCCTGTCGACCCAAGCGGATTCGTCTTTGTGCCCTGCGTCCTCGAAGGAGAAGAGAGAAGCCCAGCATAAGATCCAGCGGCAGGGCTGGGTGGCGTCCTCCCTGTGCGGTGTTGACTCACTTACAGAAAGTTCCCAGCAGAAAAAGCCTCCCCAGCGAGAGCGCACAACTGGACAGCTGACAACCGACACTGCGTGTGCGCCCACATGTCAGAGCAGGCACGAAGAATGTTCCCAGCGCGGGCTGATCCATCTCAGTTCACTTTACATTTCCCTGCGTTCTTATCATATAATACATAAATTTGAAAAACTAAATAAAAACTTGCGCTGGCAGGTGGTTATCAGCAGAGAGTGGTGAGGACTGATAGGGTAATGGAACATTTTATCCAACAAAACCCGCATTTTTTCTGACCTATGATCACAGTGGCGAGTGATCAGTATAACTAAAATATAACTTAAAGGGGTAACCCCCCTCCCCCCATGTGATTAGTAGTTATAATGCTGTGGTCTTTGAAACGATGGGGGGCAGGGCTGGATTAAGTCACTAGAGGGTAACAGGGTAAAAAATGACCTGTGGGCTCCATACAAACTCTGAAGGGGGGCGGCGGGGGTCTGGAAGCCTTGGGTAGTTTTCCAGGCAAGTTTGTGTTGTTTAAGGCATGAGCCAAGGTTTATTTTGGATTCACTTTTCATGCTAGAAATATTTAAGTACAGATGTTCTGACTATCCTACAGGCCATTCCTGTGGGTAATATCGAACTGAGATCCACGAGTGTGGGAGTCACCGCAAGCCAATGGCCTCCTGTGGGCTCAAGCTTGGAGGGCAGGCATATTGGAGTAAGCAGTGCTCGTGCATCACCGCGCTTCGATCTGATGAATGTGGTGATGGATGCTGAATTTCATTTTTAATAAATAATGCAAAATGAAAGGCAGAATGCTACCAGACAGAGTTGCATAGAACAAAGTCTCATTTGTATTTGACTATGCTGATTGCAAAGAATATATTAATGTAATAAATTATTGACCTGCAGTGCAGGATGAGAAAAATCAGCCCAAGGCTGGATAGAAAGTATGACCCAATTCACTGATAATAGCTGCAACCTTTCTGCAGAGATCCTCTCTATCCCTGCAGCTCCTACTCTTTCTGGTCCAATGTGGTCCAAATGAGTGCACACGATGAACACGGCTGCACGAGATGCATCTGCCCCCACCTCCTTTGTCCTAACACTGTATGATTCTGTGATTGGTGCAAGATCTAAAGTGAACTTCAGGGTTTGAAACCTGCTTTGATATGTTACTATAATAGTGTTTGTCCTTTGATGTCACACCACACATGTCTAACGCCACTGCTGCATGCATTTTTTTTTTTATATTCATCAATCCAGGGTTAGACATGTTGACATGCACTATCCATGCAATACCAATCCATTAACTGTTTCTGTTCTGACTTTTTGGAGCAATGGAAACTTGTCTGACACCAGAACAGAAGCAATAACAGCTTCAGCTTCCAGTGAAGTTCATACACACTGCAAAACAGATGCAAAAAAAACTTAAAGCGAACATACTTTGACAAGCTGGGCTCTGCCATGCGCTTCCGTTTTAACAAATGCTACAAATACTCCATCTAGTGGTGTAGAGTGGTGTACAAAAAAAAATTCAAGTACATAAAACTGGGACCAGTTTGATGAAGCAAACTGAGTTCTTTATTCAAGTGTGCATTGATAAGACTCAGATTTGTGAGTTCAGTGGTGCTAGCAAGCTAGCAACAAAAATTGGAACTCACTTAACAGCATGGATACAAAATCGCAAAGTAATTGTGCCTGCAGCCCCACATTGTTGTTGTTTAATCAATACGGCTTAATATCAACTGCATTTCTTTACATATGAAAGAAGATCAAGTTGTGCCCATAATATCCACTGTGACTGTCTGCATGAGAGATTGCTGCAGGGAACATCAGTGAGCATGTCAGTTCTCTGCCCCCATTAATCAAGCTCATTTGCTTACCTCAACTGCCATAGTAAGATAAGTTCAGAGGCTGGTTTGCAGTTTGTCCACTGCACATCAGGAATGCAGGAGGAAGGGGGGCAGGACACTCAGGAAAACCCAGCGCTGTCCCTGGGTTTCATATTCCTTGCTGATAATCATCACACAGAAGCAGCTGTTCCCAGCTGCCTAACTGAAAACATGATTATATACAACAATTCAGAAAGAAATGTAACACAAGCATATGTATGGAGGGTAGCAGGGTTCATAAATATGTTTCTAGCACTAAAAATAGTGTGATTAACATGATTCATGCTGCTGCTTCAATGCTCTGTGGTGCAGCAAACGTTTGGAAGACAGTGAAGTCTAGTCATACTCAAAATCTACAGTCTGATGAATCCTGAGTCCATTTATCCCAAATACACAAACCACCACCACCACACACTTCCATTGGTTGCTGAACCTAGGATAATCCACATTCTTCACTCACACATTTTCAGACTTGCCTTCTACAAAGGGGGCATCGTAAATAAAGCAGGCACAAGGCGTGCTCTGACATGGTCACAGGAGCAGAGGTCATACCTGAGTCCTGACATATTCGCTCACCACCACAAGATGACATCAAACAGGCTCGCTCATGCATGTGGAATTTACTACATCCTTCCTCCACACTCACCAAAACATTCTAATATGACATGTATTCTCTATTAATAGCATCGCTGTTATTGCTAAACTTGTAGAGTGGAGTAAAAGCTCAGAGGGGGAAATCACTCATCCCTGGATCTCACATGAACATTCATTTTAAATGTTCGATGTGAGAACAGAGAAGGCAACTTTTTACTTTTACACCCTACAGTTTAACACAAACATCTTTACTTTCTACTCCTTACATTTTCAAAACAGGCTCCTTACTTAAGGTTTAAAGCAAGGGATCTTTTTTATTTCCCAGACAATAGGAGCCTAAATGAAGGAAACCATGATACATATAAGACTGTGGACAAGCACATCAAGTTCACCAGGGAGGATATGAAAAGTGGCAGGTTCGCCTTGTTAGAGGGTAAGATTTCCATCAGCATTTAAAAGTCGCTGTGTATCGTAAACCATCGCATCCAGATCTGTATTTAAGGTCTGACTCTCATCATCCACTGGAGCACAAACGGGGTGTCGTCAGGTGCTACAACACAGAGTGAACACCATCCCCACAGGTACAGTGGCCAGGGAAGCAGAGGAACATCATATCAAGAAGAAGGCTGTGAGTAAATGTGGTTATCCCAGCTAGACATTTGTCAAAGCTGGTTTGATAACATACTCATGGCCATTGATCAGTGGTTGTTGATAAATGGTCATGACAATTTGCATATCAATGATCAAGAAACCGAACTCACATCCCATTTTCATCAGTGGTGCTAGTTTCAGTCATTATGCAAATGTACTGTTTATAAGTTAGGGGAAAGCTTGGACGATTGAGCATGCATCAATCCTATTGGTGTAACCATAAGTAGGGCTTATCAAACTCAAAGGGCTCACAGAGGCAAGACATATAGTAAATAACGCAATGTTCAAGGTTTAAAGTGGGCCAGAATTTTCCAGAATGGCATTTTTGTTGCAGATATCCGTAAGTTGCAGTCGCAGTATTTCACCATCAAGCTACTGCTGCAGAAGAGGAGCGAGTATAACGGGAGTAACGTTTTTTTAAGTGGCAGTTAATTTTAAATGAAACATTTCTATCAGCTTAACAAACATCAGCAACCACGCAAACTACAGTGGCAAGTCTGTTGCACAGTGTGTCTGCTAGCTAAAGGTCCAGCTGCTGTTTTGGAAAGAAGTTCACTCAGAGATGAAGAAAAAGTAAAAGACGTACGAAAGACAGGACAGGAGAAGAAAAAGAGAGGTTATATTTAAAGGTAGGGATGCTCAGTGACATCAACTGGAAAGCTAAACTTGCATGTAAGTTATATGATGGGAAGTTTTTCATATTGTGAAACATTCTTCAAAACAAACTAAGGTGCTGAAAGGTTGCATCATTCAATTCCACCCTTTTACTAACTGTATACAGTCTAGTACAAAGGGAGCATAAACAGTATACTGTCAGTGTAGCGGATCGAAATCAATGAAGTTAGCTTGTGAATGGTCCACTTACATCTTGTTGAATTCAGTTGTGTAAACCCATAAACAGCAGTAAACCTCAGAGTAGCAGCACAGGTCAGCTGATCACAGCCTGTACACAAAGAAAATCTGCTGTGATTCTTTTTCTCACGCTGAGCCACTACAACAGATCTTAGGGTTCCCCTGCCTGCCAAATCCCACTTTAACCCCTGACTGTAATATGTTTCTGCTTAGGTGTGGGTGTGTGTATTTATGTATTTTTACCCAAGTATCTGTACTTCTACTTAAGTAAAGAATGTCTGTACTTAAAGTGCAGTGTAAAGCCTGAAGAACAGTGTTGTTCAAATCCCCTCAGGAACTTTTGGGTTATATGGGCATCTACTCAATGAAACTATGCAGTTAAATTTTCCTCTATACAGTTTTAAAGTTATTAGACATTGACCTTTTGCCTCACTTGCATGTTGATGCAACTCTAATTAAAAACTAGCTGCTGTTTTGATATTTATATCACACTCAATGTTGTCTAACATCACCTAATACAAGTCCTGTTAATGTTCAGAGTGTGTTGCATGCCGAGGCATGTGTTATTTCTCCAGTAGTGGGGCTAATTACACTTTCCTTTAGTTCATTAGTAGCTCAGGGCTACACTGAAACCCCATCTATGACTAATGCAGCAAAACATTTAAACAAATTAACCTCAGACTAACCATGCACGGCCCTCTTGTCCTTTGTAAGATGCAACACATATAAATAACATTTTTGCATGTTTTTTTCTTACAAAATTTGCCTTTCAGATTCACAGTGAAATGCATTCTTTAACCTGCAGCTCTGCGTGTTTCTGAAAGCTGAAATAGCCCCATCTGCAGGCTCTTAGAAATATTACATCTTTCCCCGTCAAGCCTTGTTTGGATTAAGCCTCGAGCCTTTAATTGCTGTGTTTGTGGGGTGGGCCTACGAACACTGAGAATGGTGTTAGCGTGCTAAGTGTGATTTCATGGATTATAAATGCTGCCTTTCGCTGTGTTACACTTGCGGATTTTTTATTTTTTGTTTATGGGATTTTCCAGAGCCTGTCAGAGCACATTGTAACTTGATCTCTGAAATCAAATGTGTTTATTTGC